TACACCGCGGCCCTCCTGAGTTGTGTTTTAAAGCTGCCAGGTGCCTTCACTCGCCTCGTCGCAACCCTCCTGGCCCTCTGCCCGAGGGCTCCCTCTCCACGCACAGGGGCGAGTCTCGCTGTTTCAAGCCCCTGACTTCACTCCTTCCCTGCCGAGCGATATCATATACATATATGGTATATATAATATACATAGAAATGAATAAAAAGGTATTTGGCTGGAGTGACCCGCTCTCCCTCCTCTCCCGGTTGCGGTGCGCTCGCCCTGACCTCCGCCCATCCCCGCATCGCGCCTCCGACAACAGCCGTCAAGTGGATTCGTTTATTGTTTGATTAGCCCAAAGGTGCGAGCTATTGTCTTCCCTCACTCCAGACCACAAATAAACAAACACAACGGGCTGCACCTTGCCGCTCGCTGCGTATTAGCGCAGCCCACACAAAGCCTTTGTTAGGGACACAGGTTTATTTTATCTCTTAGAATGGGCTACACTTGAAATAAATAGGGAAAGGGAAGCGCCCGGTAATTGTTATTGGGAGCTTCAAACACCCTCTTTGTTTTAAAGTGTGGCCGGGGAAAGGAGAGCCGCTTCGTTACAGAAAACATCTTTTGTTGATGACAAAAAAACCCCACAAAAACCAGAAAAACAAGATAAAACTATTGCCTCCAAGTAGATCCTCCGAGAGCCCCGCACAGAAGGTTTTAAATAGCATTTTTTTTTCCGCGATAAAGCGGCAGCTCCGCAGAGCTGCTGTCGGCGCGGCGATGCCAGGCCGTGGGAAAGGGAGCGGGGACGGGGACCCCGCGCCGCAGAGTTACCTTCGTCCCCGCGTCCTGGCGGGGGAGGCAACGGGGGAGTGTAAAAAAAATTTAAAAAAATCGTATTTCCTGAAAGCAGGGGAGAAACCGAAGCCCTCTGAATCCTCCGTCGGTTTCAAGAACTTAATGGTAAGGTGCGGGGTGAGATTCCCGTTCCTGTTCGCGGCTGGAAAAAGGGCTTTAACAAAGGCGTTAAGGATGTTTTGAGGGAAAGGAAAAAAAACGGGGGGGGGGGGGGGGAGGAAGGGGGAAGATTTCC